TTCCGATCTCCCCAAAACCCCAAAACCCCACACAGCAGAATTACAATGATTTCAATTAAACACAAAAATCATGAAATTAAAATAAAATTTATATGATTTAAGAATACTTGCTTTAAGTTTTTTTAATATCAAATAACCTGAATTTAATAGCTCTAAATGATAAATCAAACTAATAAGGCTCGACTAAAATCCATTAGTACAAAAACCTGAAAAGCCTGTCATCTCAATCTGATGCTTAAAAGACCTCCTTTTAATAGCCAGTTCATTGCATGAATTTTTTGGCGGATTGGAGGATTCCTTTAGCGGCGTTCTTGATTGAGGAGAATGGGCATGATGACTTTGAGGCTACTCTGTAGTGGCTCTTCCATTCGGGTCTGAAGACAATATCCTCTTGGATATCCTGATGCTTGAAGAAAAGGTATCTGTCACCGAAGTATGATTTAACAAGTGGTGAGGTGATTGAGAGATCTCCGATATGAACCTTCTAAGAGTCAGGCTCAGCATAAGCGTGCACCTTGTAGATTTGGCTTCCTGCTTGAATAGAGGCAAGTTATTCTTAGAAGTCTTGTGAGAAATCTTCGGTGAATTTCTCTCTAAGGACTGGCTCGAATGAAAGTTGGAATGGGAATTTGGGGGTAGTAGTCAAAGTTCCGTCTTGCTCGTATGAAGCAATGTCTGAGAGACCAACGTATTAAACGAATGGTGTGGCAGTTTCAAACTTTTTGGCAACTAGAGTGAGAGCAACACCTTCAGCGTCTGGGATATGGTTTGTGAAATCCATTCTGAAGAAGTTCCATGATTTGGCTCCGTTTACAGAGTACATAGCGACCAAGTTACCGGATGGGACGTTGTTTCTCAGGAATTTAAGACCGAATCCTGGAGTGAAGTTGTCAAGAGCAGCCTCAGCAGAGTGCTTAGATTCGCTTTGATCTGGTTGCTTGGCAATTGAGAGTCTGATCAAACCGTGATCGGCACCACTCTTGAAAATTCCAGTATATCCTTCGTTGTTGTCAACTGGAGTGTATTTTACTGTAGCAACACTTCCAACTGAGTGGATGTACTTGTCTCTGACACCGAGCCATCCATCTTCGAAGGTATCTCCAACCCAGTGAAGAGATGTTGACATGCTCTCAACGAAGAGACCTCCAAGTTCAAGAGCGTTATACCATCCGTATGGAGTATCATTTGAAGTGATTTCAGCCCACAAAGCCTTTTGTTTATCTTGGGCGCTGAGTTTTTCATAAGCATCGCCGTATTTGGCCCAGCTTGAAGCTTGAGTTAGGGATGCAAATGCAACTACTGCAAGAGCTAATGCGATTTTTCTCATTTGAATACTTAATAAGAAGTTTTATATTTATAAATTAAACCTTGGATCTCAATAAAACCCCGCATACGTCTTAACCAATTATCCAAACATCATTTATATTTTCGAATTTTGATTTTATTTTTACATCTGAATTGCTTATTCTGGGGTTTTGGGGTTTTGGGGTTTTGGGG